AGTGTGGGGTTGGTAAGATTTTTATTGTTTTTTTGAAAGTCTCACCAAAGATGCATTTATTTGATCAAAAATACTTTTTAAAATAGTAATATTGTAAAATATTATTACAATGTAAAATAACTGTTTTGTATTTTAATAAATTTTCAAATATATTTTAAAATTTTATTCTTTGTTGAACAGAAACAAAAATATTTTGTAACGTTATACATTTATTTTTTTATTGTCACTTTTGATCATTCTAACGCATCCTTGCTGAATAAAAGAATTTCAGGGTCAAATCTAGCCCTGAACTTTTGAGCATTAGTGTATATTTTATGTTCAATATTAATATAAAAATGTATATGTGTATTTATTTATTTAAAATAAATAACTATAAATGTATAAACTGAGAAATTCAGATTTTTAATGTTAATGTTTTACTGACATTTTATACATTTTTTAAAATATTTTACATTTTTTGTTTTTTTAATCAGTATTTTATTGCAAAATTTGGCAGAATCGGGTCTTTTTAGTACTAAATCTAGATTTTATTTAATTTTTCTTGCTAAATCATTCAAGTTTCAGGATGAAATTAGTCAGATTTGAATTTGCAGCACTTATGTTGAATGATTATGTCTTGGGCAGAATCAGAGGAGATCTGGTATGACTTTGGTGCTGTAGGGTTTAAAAGCTGGTACATGCCCAGTGAACGGCAGTAGGCCAGTGGCACATGCTGATTGCATGTTAAGTGTTACATTTGTGTGACCCAGATTAGACCAGACTAAGCCTCGAGCCCTGGGCCCAAAATATCTGTTTTCAGCCCCCCTGCCACCAACAGACAGGAATACAGACATTTAGCCTGCGGACAGGAGCAAAATGAACCAGAAATAAACACATCCAACGATAGAGCTGATACACAATCTGAATATGTCACTGGAATGTGAATGGAAAATAGTTTCAACTGAGGGTCTCAATAAATGTTTTTTTAAATCTCTCCCAGTTGTCAATGATACTTTAACATACAAAAACATGAAAGGCAGGACAATTATTTCATTAAATATAAATATGCCACACAATAATAATACAAAAAAACATAATTACGACTTTTTAGTTGTGAGATAAAAAGTCCCAATTACCTTTTATATATATCTTTTTTTTATTTCATAGTGGAAACAAAACAAAACAAAGAAAAATTGCACGATGTAAACTTACAGCTCTGAGAAAAAAGGTAGGATTACAGGAAGTAAAAAAGAATTGTGGGATGTAAACTCAGATTTCCGAGAAAAAAGTCAGGAGGTCAGTCGACAATTCTGTGTTTATATCTCGCAATTCCAATTTTTGTGAGATAAAAAAATCACTTACTTAAAATCACATTTACAAGAGATTTGTGTTTCAAGTAAATGCTGATCTTTTGAACTTTTTATACATCAGAGAATCATGAAAAAAGTATCATGGTTTCCATGAAAAATAAATAAATGTTTTCTATTAGAATATATTTTAAAATGTATTTATTTCTGTGATGCAAAGCTGAATTTTCAGCATCATT